TATTTCCCGAACGACCACGACACCCAACCTTAGGGTTCAGGGTTCTAGGGTTTATGGTTTAGGGCTTTAAGGTTTTAAGGTTTAGGGTTGAGGGTGTTTTAGGGTTTAGGGAATAGGGTTTAGGGTTTTGGGGTTTGCGAGTTAGAGTTTAGGGTTTAGGCTATTTCCCGAACGACCACGCGACCCAACCTCGGGGTTTAGGGTTTTTGGGTTTAGGGTTTAGGGTTTTAGTGTTTTTAGGTTTAGGGTTTTAGGGGTTCGGGAATAGGGTTTAGTGTTTTAGGGTTTGCGAATTCGGGTTTAAGGCTTATGCTACTTCCCGAACGACCACGCGACCCAACCTCGCGATCGCGATGTCCAGACCTGCCGAAGGACCGTTTCGGGATTTGTTTTGTTAAGTGCTTATTGGAATGTGTTGTGTTGTGGTTTTTGGGGGGGCTCCAGGTTTGGGTCTGGGTTGTTATTTGTGGTGGGCTTCTAATTGCGAACGACCAAAAAAACAACAGAACTACGAACTACCTTAAACACTTTATGTGAAGTTTACAAAATAAGTGAGACCACCCCCCCAAACCCCGCAGAGACTTGACAACATCATGTATGAGCAGACCCTCAAAAAGACTAAGGAAACCCACAACCAAAAAATAATACCAACAAACCGGCAAAACTTAATTAATTAAGTTAGCAAGACCCCAAAACCAGCAGTCGGCTCCTGGCCTCGCTGATTCCGAACGCCCCAGGACCTGCCACGACAAAGGAATCGGCAAAGTGCATGCAGGGCAATGCAAAGGCCAGTGCACATGCACTCGCAAACGACCACTTTTTTTCCCCCCTCCCAATCGTCGAAGCTTCGGTGTGCCGTGGCACACAAAACGGCTTCGAGGGCCAGTTTCACGGCCGACGCGAAAGGCCGTGTCCTGGACCCTCACCAAAACTCAAAACGGCCGTCCTTAGGATCCACAGAGTGCAATGGACACTAAGATAGACATGCACTGCACACATACCAAAGGTTTCGAACGACCCTAGAAAGAGCCGAGGCACCACGAACGACCTAGTAGCGATCGTCGTACCGGCGACGGCGACGGTCCTGAGCATGCTAGACTCATGCAGTCTGAAACACACAGCCGATCACAACCCTCTTTCTGCAGCCAGGGCACCTCTGCATCGGACATCCAACGAGGAGTCGGCCGACCTGGATGGCCGGGATCCGAAAGGCGATCACGCTCCTCGAAAAACCAGCGATCGCGACGGTCACGTTCGTCCGGACCACGATAGTCGTCCCAGGCACTGCTCCCGCTGGCACGGCCACGATCGTCCATACGGCGATCGTCGTGGCGACGATCGTCCATGAAGGGGCGGCGATCGTCACGGTAGTCCATCGGGCNNGATCGTCACGGCGATCGTCGGGGCGATAGTCCATCGGGCGACGATCGTCATAGCGATCGTCACGATAGTCCCGATCGTCGCCTCAGTCAGGTTCTAATTTTACTGGATTACGAAAGACCTTGTCACTCTACTGAACTAATACTTAAGTCGGAGAGCGACGGCGATCGAAGTCGTCGTAGTGGGGCCGGCCTTTGCCACCTTTGCCGCCGACCCAAGCCCTGTTACCTCAGCTACGAGCACGAGGCGAACTACCAGCAGAAGCCAAAATGCAGTGCATCGCAACACGAACGACATAAGCTGAAACCCTCAAAGCCAAAGCGACCCGGAAGGCCAGGGATTTCGGGCCGCAAACGATCCAGCTCTTTTCGAACGGCCGATGTTATGGCCGCCGATGGATTGGCATAGGTTCGAAGGTCCGTGTTGTTTTCGCCTCAGTCGTGAAGAAGTACATCCAAGTCACGTTCAAAAGTGTCGTCGAAATGCAAACCAAGTCACGCTGCAGAATCTGAAAGATCTCACGAACGAACCGAGCTCCCTCCTCCCCGTGGCCGGCCAAATTGGCGACCGCCTTAGACAATGCACACCAGACGTGAATGTTATTATTCTGCTGGCTCTTCACTCAATTTCAATGAATGCCGAGCGACCCGGATGCACTTTTCGTCCAACTCCAACTCGTCCAACTCGAGTAAGGTCGCCGGAGCGACCTTCCAAATGTCCAGTCGAACCTCAGGAAAACCGAACGGCGAAATCGAAAGGCTATCTGATTCTATGCAGCCCCGGAACGGCATCGATGAACTGATTCCCGACCGACGGCATGGCCTCCTGGAGGTCGTTGGCCGTGAACGTCCCATGGTACTGCACACGACCGCCGGCCGGCGGTGGGCCCGGCGGGGTCTGTGGCTGACGGACCGGGTCGCTGGCCACGATGCGAAGCTGAGTTTTGATCTCATCCGGGAGGCCCGCGATCGCCCACCATTCGTTGCCCACGTCCCCGAACGACGGCAACCAACAGGGGATCTCATAGAGGGCCGAAAGTCCCACGACCAAAGCGGCCGACCGGACCCGTCCAAACGAACCTCGGACACAAACAATCACACCGAAAGTCCACGCCACACGACGGTGCACAACACATTATCTATCTAAGTGCATCTAGCAGCAGCAAACCGACAAGATCGAACGACCCTCGATCTCCTTCATGGCCTGCAGCATCTTCGCGAGGACCCGAAAGACCGGCTTGTACTCGTCCTGGTTGAACGGCCCCTCGAACACCGCGAGAGTCGTCAACGGGTTGCCTCGCAGGATTAATTTATTTTGTTTAAACCACGACTTTAAACATGTACTGTGACATTAAATCTCACTCACCACAACGACCCATCCTTCGACGCCATCGGCCCGTGCTTGAACGTCGCTCGGCCACATGCCCCGAATGTCCATGGACACGTGTGTCCCCTGAACGTCGAACCAGCGACGTTTCAGCCATCCGGGCATGCACGAATGGCCCTTCTGACCTCGCAAAATGTGGCACTGCAAAAAAAAAACGTGCTGACTGCTGCTCATGCGAAGCAATGTTTAAGCCTAGACACGAACGGCATTCGAACGGCCGGTCACGTTATACATTTCCTCGATGCCGTATGCGACCAGCAATGGACCTTTCCAGAACGTCCCTTCATCGATGTTGTCGTCGAGCAGCTGGTACTGCAGATCGTCCGCCCCCTTAGCGGTCGCCCTAGGCCCAGCACGACCGGCCCCTGCCATGGCAACGACGATACCAAAGGCCTCGAAAGACCCACGGAAAATCCCAGCAACCCCGAACGGCGAATACCCCGAACGGCTATAATGACCCGAACGGCGAATAATGAACGCCGAATGACGAATGACAAAAATTAGAAGATGTGAAATCTAATGTGCAATCTGTGAAACTGTAATACTGTAGTCCGTGATGTACTGTGAAAGCCATGGAAATGTCTCAGACTTAAGCCCGGGATGCTGCTGTGAGAATCGGTCATGAATGTTGTCATGTGCTGTGCACTCAAATCAGACTGCAAATGCCCTCGTGTGTGCAGGCAGAAGGCAGCCTAAAAACCCAAGCTCGCCGGGTCCACCTGTGAAGGCCAGGATGTCGGCGAGGTCGCCGAACGGCCCCGAGGACGCCAACCACGAACGGCCACGCACGCCCTTGAATTCTACGTTTTCATATAAAACCCGATAGACCCACCCAAAGCCTGCAATTTTGCCGAACGACCTGAATCCAACACTTCAAACGATATTTTCACAGCCTGCCATAAAACCACACAATACCAAGCCCCCAAAACAACAATACTTCCTGACTTTTTATCCCAAACCCTTAAAATACTCAGTGATAACCCTTTCAAATCCCTACAATCCCGCTAGCTTGGACCGCACCCCGCCCAGACCCCGCCAAAATATGCAGCTATCCGGGCCTACTGTTTATCCTAG